TTGAGAACATCGTCGATACAATCGTCATCATCAAAAACAATCGATTGCTGGTCTTTCAGATGGAAGCTCAACCGCTGAACAGGAGGTTTCTTGTACTGCAATTCAAACCCCAATAACCTCCATGCCGCCTCACAAGATGACACATAACGACAATCATAATACATGGATATTTCATCCACAGGTTTATCAGAACCTTCATCTCCAGACGTCTTATAGAAAGAGGCAGTAACACGATCATTCCCTTTGTTCACATACTTGAACAGGTATTTTATCGAACGCGATTGATTGCACCACTCGACATTTATGTGCGCTCCATATTTCATCAACAGACGGCGATTGTGAGGAACGACATATCCATTGTTGACAATAACACCACTTTTCTCAATATGTCTGCCATCATCTCGACGACGGTAACGTGGATACCCATCTTCGTCAATGGTCGTTGATTCAACAAACTTTTTTGGAAATTTTTTAATGCAGACATCATCCACCATACACGGCGAGTCTTTCTTAGCCAAGCCACACGGTCCATGAATCATATGCTCCTTCACAGCCTCATAATAGAAAGGATTGGATTCCTCATCAGGTATCTCAGCAGATATTACCCTGTCTATATCAGAAGGATTTGGAAACTTACTTTCTCTAGATAGGAACAACAGTATATGGGCATGCGGGAGTCCACGTTTTTGAAATTCAATTGTATAAATAACTGCATTATATATAAGAAAAAGTATTAATAAAGTGAATGAACAACAAACATCAAATTAGAAAGCAAGAATATATATGAATAGTGAATAAAAGGTATCATATTGTTCACCTGCTATAACCTTGCCAAAAATTTGGTTTTGACGAAAATCCCTTATCATCTCCTTAAGCTTAGCTCTGAAGACTCTGCACACAATATCCGGTCGATCCTCAGGGCGCAAATTTTTAGGCTCTAAATGTCTAACAATCTCCGGCCACTTTGGGTTGCATGTGAATGTTATAAAAAGATCTGGATACCCAGCCCACCTGCAAATCGCCATTGCATCTTGGTAGTTCTGAATCATATTTCTAGCACCTCCAGTGAATGTGGAAGGAAGTATTATACGCTTGCCTCGAGAACTGGGATCGGTGTCACCACGAAGAACTGCATCTGCAAGTCCATTATAAAGATCACAACGAAGTCGGTTTTGGTTGAAACGTATGTATCTCAACCTCGAAGATTCTACCATGGTGTAAGCATCAACAACAAACTGCTGAAACAATCGTCGAGCTGATAGTATTGTTGATGGCTCATGATCCCTATCATGAATCCTATATGCAAAATACTCCCGAACACTAACAGTCTTTCGACCATCCTCAACAACGGGTTTTATATCCGTAAATGGAATGTCTTCCCTATATCCATCCTCTCCATATGGAAGTAAAAGGGGATATTGCAATGCCAAATAAGACGCATTAAGCTCGTTTATCCTTTGTAGAAGACCACTTTTTGTTTCTACCAGTATGTCCCTATCACCCAAAGCTTGATCGAAATCACCTACTACCAATGCAGCTACTTCTGAACTTGTAGGAAGGTTATATCGTCTAGCATCATTATATCTTCTTCCAATTAGACGAACTCTGACATCTACAGAACCAGATTGTTGAAGTCTATCCCTGGCCATTCGAAAGGACTTCACAAGCTCATTGTGCTCATCAAGCATGGCTTTTAACCCCTCAACAATATCAACTTGAAGATTAGTCACCCCATCTTGTTTACTGTTAACATCAAACACAATGCATTAGAATATGAAATGGACATATAATAATAGACTATACTCGTTTTATTTGAAATAAAGGATAAATATTGTAATGAATTAACGAATCTCACCTAACAAC